GTGACTGATTCAACTGCGATAACCAGTGGCAATTTACCTAGGAAGATCTATGGGAGCAAAAAAGAACAGGAAGCTGGCGAGCGAACTTGCCTGGTTGTGAGGCAAAATAGTGGAAATCGAAGCGGTTCCTCCACCATCTGTATTTTTCTGAAGTTCATGAAGCCCTAGTGAAAACCGAAAATCGAAAATCGGAAAGCCCAATATATTGCGGTAAGTGGATTTAGAACTACGCCGAGGAAGTAAAGGAACCAGCTAGAATAACGATAAGGGTGTCTAGGGGTAAAAGAAGGAAAGTAGCGATTGGCTTGAAAAAATATGAAGCAAGTCAGGCCAAGCAAACCTTCTGACCAACGTCAAACATGCTAAGTATTGGGGTAAGTAGTAGAGGTCAAAATCTCGGTTGCCCACATTTCAAGAGAACATTTCTCCTGAATGTGGGCTACCGAGATTTTGGCCTCTACTACTTACCCCGAATTGATTAGAGATGGTCCAAAAATGAGTACAATGTCAGTACCGGCGAAAGGACCCCTACCCCTCCTTTTCAAAAATCTCAGCTAGGACCTCTCTCGTGAGCAATTTCCTGACAGACGGTGAACTACTTTCATTCGAGGACGTTCATCTACAACAATTGTTTGTCGATAAATATAATACATAGATGTAAATGTCGGCCCCCCTCCCCCTTCCACCCCCACATTCCTCCACATCCCATTGCCTAGCCCACCAAGGGATTTGAATGCCTCCACGATTCCAAATAGAAATTGTGTGCACGCCATACCTCCCCCTTGGTCCTTCTTTAGTCCTTGAAACGAAGTTAAACCCATGCTCTAAATTTGTGCACCCATGGACCAAAATGCAAATGATTTTATTTCAAGAAAAATCGTGACAATCAGCGACCAGGAAATAACGCTGCGCGAAAGTTTTACGACGCTTGAAAACACGATAATATTACGCCTGAACAACTGGTTCTGGAAACGAATAACGGGTTCGACCGGCTCTCAGAGCGATTTCCACAGATTTCTCAGAAAATCGCTGAAGGAATAGTTGAGCTGTGAATATGCGAATCGCTGATAAGAAAATTTCCGGGAACGACTA